ACCCTATGCGCTGTATTTACTATTCAGTACATACTGGCAAATAATTTATGGACTAAATGCATGTGCAGGATTACATAGAAAATTTTACCTCCTTGACAGATCTGAATCCTTTGTAGCTTCTCTAACTGCACGCTCCATCTCTTTAATTCGCAGCTTCAACTCCTTCGCCAAGGGTGAGTTTCTGCTTGCTGGAATAAAGCTCAAGTATGCCCTGGCTCTAATAATTTGATCCCTAATCTCCCAAACCTTCTGATTTCTCACTCTACGAAGCCGAGAACGTGAAATCTGATGTTGGGTTTTTTCCTTACCAGATTGCTTATCTACCATTTCGATATTACCATCTGCCACTCTTCGAGAACGAGTGTGCATATTCTGATTGTGCATGACTGTTGTATTAACTTCCTTCTGCAAATTAGGCACAATTAAAAAAGCAATATATGATCGCTAAACAGATTTGTCTCCACAAACCAATTTGAATTTAAACTTGCTCAAATATAAAAGGGCGGACCCAGTGCACGATGTTGGATATATGGGGAAGTTAGATGTACGCAGCCTTACTCCCACAAGCGGAGAGGCTGATTCCATGATTTGAACTCGTGGTCTCATGGTCATTAAGCGACGACCTTCCTGTTGCGTCAAACTCAGCCTCAAACCTTGCTCAAATATATGTAAGTATATACTACATATATGAAGCATAAAGCTTGCCACCATAACTGACTGTTATTTCTTTGTATTTATAATTAATTTACCTCCCAAGTGAATATCTATAATCTAATTAAGAGCATAGAGATTTTTAAAAAGTTGTTTTCAGAGAATAAATTGCAAAATATCCCTTATCATAAAGAATATCATCATTCTAACTCATTTCATTATCCATTTTAAATTACTCCAACGGCAAATCAGCTCCACCATGGATATTTAAACCAGATCATGTAATGCATGAGATGAAACCTGGAAGTAATGAAGTAACCTAGACTAAAAAAAGATTAAGCATCTTATTTTCTTCTGAAATTTGAGACCATTACAGCTTTCCTTTAGGAGAGGAACGACGAATCTATTGATAGCAAGTCTTTTTCCTACTTTTCCTTTCAGAACAAAAAAATAGAAGCATATGGCCTTCAACTTTTAATAACTGCAATTAAAAGAATTAGTATTAACCTTATCTCCATCCATGGAGGATAATCCTTTATGCTGAGCTACCTGGTCTTGTCCTTTGTCATGTTGGGATTCTGAAATTTCATAACAGTCAAAATTTCAGACACCGGCACACTGTTGCTATGCCCTAGAGTGGCATTACATAAACACTAAAAAATAAAGTAGTATAAAGTGCACCTACAGATACCAACCATTTCTTTCCAAAAATATGTTTCTGTGCACTTCATGTCTAGATTCCACAGAATCATTAATCTTTTCAGCACTCTTACTACTTTTAGAACCAACATCTTTTTCTTCATAAACAACTTGCTTTGGCTCTTCTAATTCTCCGGTACCTTCCTGAATTGCAAAAAAGAACCCAAATCACTAGTGGAAATTATATATATAGTTCAATAGAGTGGAAATAAAAAAAAATTAAAAAAGATTTAACACACAGTGGTGAAAATTCCAATACCTGTTCTATAGCATTTAATTTTAAAGGGTCTGTCCTGTATGCCTGTAACAAACAAATAAAAATCAAATGAATTTCCACGGCAGAACATCAGAAGCTCAATTGGCAGCTGAGGAATCATAATGAAAAATATTTTCCACCTATGATAATTAAGCCTGAAATATCACACTCGAACTATCCATGATAAAAATTCAAGAAATCAAAGTATGAACATCATGGTTCAAACCTCGACAGCTGCACAATTCCCCCTCTCCATCAAAAACTTCATCAACAAAAGCAATTTAATTTGAAAAAATGAAATGTGTCACTACACTTCCTCTAACTGATATTGTTAATTGTTTTCTGAACAACCAAAACAACAACCAAGTCTTAGTCCCATTAGGTTGGGTCAGCTACATGGACTGCATGATGCCACCATGGTCTACCATAAATCATGTCCATTGATAAAGCATTGAACTCTAAATATTTCCAAGTTGTTTTGCTTAGGGTTTTTCCTGGTCTCCCTCTTCTCTAGAAATTGGACTAACTTTCATTTGATTTACTCTTCTTACTGGAGCTTCTAATAGTCTCATCCATGCATGCCCAAACAACCTAATGCACGATTCTACCATCTTTTAATAGGAGCTACCCCAACTTTCTCCCTAAAGAATTCACTGTAAATCCTATTTTGTCCAGTGTATTCATTCATCCAACACAACATTATCATCTCCCATACATTGAGTTTAATCTCTTGTTGACATTTTACAATCCAACATTCAGTCCATATAACATTGCGAGTCTTATAGTTGTGATGTAAAATTTCCCCCTTTTAAGTTTTCTGAACAACCAAACAAATAAAAATCAAATCAATTTCCACATCAGGGCATAAGAATCTCAATTGACAGCTGAGGAAGCATGCCAAAAATATTTTCCACTTAAATGACTTAAACCTAAAACAGCCGATCAAAATCCATGAAATTCCACTGAACTTCAAAATTTTCAATTGACAGACACTAGAAGACTACAAATCAAAAATCATTTCAGGAAAAATGCTTCACTATATAGTTTCTCAGCATCAACCAAACAGATTGAATTGAAGTTCAGAACCAATTGAAATAAATGAAAAACAAAAGATTCTTACAACAGTAGATAAATCATCGAGAAACTCTCTTCGTCCTGAAATAACGGAGACGAAATTAAAACAAAGAGAGTAATAATAATAATAATAATAAATGAAAAATGAGGATCCATTATTGATACCATGGGGAGTGAGAATTTTGAATCTGCGAGAAACGAAAACAAGAGGAGCAATAACGGAAAGAGAGAGGAGAGAGAGGAGAAGAATTCTCTGACATCGACGAAACTGCTTCATCGATCACTCACTCACTCACTCAAAGGTGCGGTTACTATTATTATTATTATTCACAAAAATCGAAGAATGAAGAATTCGATTCTTCTAACACAAGGAACTTAGGGTTTGTTTCACAGTCACACTTGTTTTTATTCACTTTTCTTTTTTTTAGAGAGAGAAGATAGAGAAGCTTCATGCTTCATGCTTCATGTGCGTCATAAATGACTTTCCTTTTCTTTTATTTTTTCCTCTCTCTTTAATTTTGTTTTATATATTTCTAACAAAATTATTTTTCTTTTTTAGGGTTGCCTAGAGGTTTGTGCCAGCTGGTAGGATAGATGCATGATGAGGATGAGGATGGTTGTCCACTACTGAGTAGGACCAAACCATACTCGCTCACATGATTTAATTCGATCATTATTGAGCTCGAACATGATGGTTAGATTTTAATGAGTCTAGGGTCGGGTTTGTGTTCAAAATTAGATTCGATCAATATTTCGGTTCAGGTAAGAGACTAACATGTCTTGTCTTGACTCGACTCATTATCACTCATTCATCTTATTTATATGTGTGTTCATTCAATTTTGTATAGAGTAATAATATTTTTTAGTCAAAAGTATCACTCATTCTCTAGTTTTTATCATATATAAATGGGTAATGGTATATACCTATATAGTTTCATATGTCAAATTACATATCCATACTAATAAGTGATATTGAGAAGATTTCATCTAAAAGACATATATTATATTTTTTCGGGTCTAGGGTTGAGTCTAGGTTCAAAGGCTGGTGCAATCGATATTTGGGATCGGGTTAGGTTCAAGTTCAAAAAATAATGTGACTACCATTTAAGGTCGGGTAAGGGATAAGTCTCACTCAACTCATGTTCACCTTACTTTTAGTAATATTATAGAGTAATGATATATCATCTTATTAATTTATCTTACAAAACATATTATCTATAAGAAAGTGAGAGTAATGCATTGCACAACATGTAGATCGGAAGATGAAAAAGAAAGAGCATAATGAAATAAAACTTACAAAGGAAGATCTAAGAGCTAATAATAGATTGAGTGCATTTGTTTCAAGATGAGGCTTGAGCTTGTTGAAGTGGTGTGGTTGTTGTGTTTAGGAAGTGGAAAAGTTGAACAAAGAGAGAAGCAAAAGATCCAAAGGGTTTGGCCCAATTGTCCAACCAAGCATTTTGTGATGTATTGCAAAGAATTAAAAATAAAAATCAAACATTTTTTAAATGAAAGTGAAATGCAAATGATCTTTAAAGCCCCCTACATTGGGAGGAAAAATGGAAGAGGTTGACTTAGTTTTGTTGTTTGATAATTTTCTTAATGTAAAAGGACAATTATAAATTGAATATTTTAAATTTACATGTAGTTATTTTGTGAATGTATTATTTAGAGAGAGGTATATTAATTATTAAGTTTTTATTTTGTATTATTTCAATTATTTAAAAAAAAATATTGATATTATATTAGTTAAACAATTTAATGTACCGCGAATCTAAAAATATACCAACTAAGTATATTTTTATTCTATCATAACAACTCATTTGATTTGACCTACTCTTAACTGGACCAACATATGGTTGGGTTTCACCATGTTAAAGTTATGTATGAGTTCAAAAATTGGATCTGATCAATATTCAAAGGATAATAAAGGTTTATCCATTACTCGTCCCAAAGCAACTTTTGCTAACCCTGAACTTTTGCTTATACATGTTTGATCAGTTGTATAAAAAGTAAACACATTTCTTTAGCTCATAGTAATTAATGTATTTGATTTAGTCAACCTATTTAATGATAGAATATAATTTTATAACAATGTTTTTTAAATGCTCTTGCTATTAATTTAAAACACACACCTATATCATTTTATATGTTATTGATTTTATAATCTTTTACCTATATATACTTAGATGTTTTGTAAAATATATACATATATACCATTTAACAAACTATGTATATAAGAATAAATAATATTAAGAAAATTTTGTATAAAAGAGAAAAAATACATTATATTTAATTAGATCTATTATTGATTTCAGGTTCAATAGTTACTCCGATCAATGTTTAGGATTGAATAAACTTTATACTCTAATTTTAGATACAAACTAAAAAGCTACCCAATTAGTATTTAAGATCAAGTAAAAGATGAATAAGTCTTACTCAACCCATGAGTAGGACTCCTCTTCATTAATGGAGAAACAAGTGAGTTTTTTATGTATATTATAAAAGTAAAGATGTAATCATTTTTTTAAATAAAAAGAACAAAAGTAATATTACATCTTTCACTTTCTTTAAGTCTTCCTCTCAACCCATCACCCAACATACTTAAGGTAACTACGATAGACCTTTCCTCATGTTAAGAGGCACTCTCTCCTACAGCATAGCACGCCGTCCAATACCCCCAGGCGCATGTTATCACACCTGTCTTTACTTCAACCATATAGAAACATGTTTCAGAAAACAAATTAAATTTAATAAAAAACTATTTTAAAAAACATAAGAATAAGAAAAGTAAAAGAGAAACACACACTATGTTATTTTTGGTCCATGCTCTTTTCAACGAACACCCCTTTCTCGATTCAGACCATCTTAAATCCACCATAACCCACGTCAAATTTTCACAAACCACATCGACCCTATTCATATTTTTCCTTAAAGCACCCATCTTTAATAACATCTTCACCGATCTTTCTACTTATCTATAAGGTTCTTTCATTCTATGCACCCATACTTTGTTTTTTGTTTTTTTGTTTTTTGTTATTGTTATTTTTGTCTTACACTGTATAGTGTTAATGCAGTTAAGTTAATTAAACGCGTGGTGATATAGCTTATAGCAATAGCATGCATTGAAAGTGTGGATAACGTGTTGTGTGAAAGAGAAGAAAAAAAAGATAGAAGGAAAGTGAGTTGAAGGAAAGTGAAGATGACAAATCAGATAGTGAAAGTGAGAAGAGACAAGATTGTAGCATGCATGACTTGTACTATTTGTAACAATCTCTTCAAAGATGCTACCACTATATCTGAATGTCTTCACACGTGTGAGTGTGTTCACAACTTCTTCGATCTCCTTCAAGCTCCTCTTTTTATTTTTCCACTCTAATTTCTATCATTTGATTCCACTTTGCATTCTTCCTTATCTCTAATTAAGATTTCTTAACCAATCATAATCCATTATATAAAGATGTTGCATACTTTGTGTGATGTTATCCCTCTTTGATGTGAAAGAAATTTTTGGATGTTTTTTTATATATTAATCATTAATGATTTAGAATTATATAAGTTTTTTTTCTTTTCAAAATCAATGTATAGATGTGTCTCCTACTTTCATTCGAGACTATCCAATAATTTCTGTCACTTTTTAGGGGCATATGGTAGTTGCATAATCAAATATATTGGTATTTCTTAATTTAATGCATCTAAAAATATTTATTTCTCTCTTTCTCCCTATGAAAGCATAGACTATAGAGGACTTGAATGATAGATAGAAGCTATGACTTGTGTGGTTTTGGATTGGCCAAACTATTCATTAGATAGAAGCATACTTCATTGATTGCATTTCATTCTTAGCTAAACAAAGCTAAGATCATTAGAATTTATACAAGAGAGTTCTAACTATTTATCAGAAAAGGAAAGACAGTTAAGTTAGTTACAAACTAACTTCTAGAAATAGAAAGAAGTGAAAAACCTATTCTACCCTTGTTATGCAACTCATAAACCAATATCATCAATATCCCCCTCAAGCTAGGGAGTAGATATTGCAAACACCCAGCTTGGGAAGAAGGTAAGCAAAAGTAGAAGAATCCAAAGCCTTAGTAAACAAATCTGCAGGTTGCTCTTTGGTAGAAATGGGAAGCAAATGAAACAGTTGAGATTGCAATCTTTCCCTAACAACATGACAATCAATCTCAATATGCTTAGTACGCTCATGAAACATGGAATTTGCAGCAATATAACGAGCTGAGTTGTTGTCACAGTAGAGAAGTGCAGGCTTGACGAAAAGAATGGAAAAGCCATCAAGCATAAAAGTAAGCCACTGAAGTTCACAAACAGTAGCAACAAGAGCACGATATTCTGCTTCAGTGGATGATCTTGCTACTGTAGTTTGCTTCTTTGTCTTCCATGAGATTAGAGAATCACCAAGAAACACACAAAATCCAGAAACTGACTTCCTCGAGTCTGGACAAGTAGCCCAATCTGAATCACTAAAAGCTTTGAGTTGTAGATGAGAATCAGATGAGTAAAACAGACCTTGACCAGGAGCCCTTTTTATGTACCTGAGTATACGAGTTAATGCTTGATAATGAGCTTGAGTTGGTTGACTCATAAACTGACTTAACTGTTGAATGGAAAAGCTGAGATCTGGCCTGATGTTTGTAAGATAAAGCAGCCTCCCCACAAGTCTTCGATAAGCAGCAGGATCTTCATATGGTGTAGAGGAATCTTGAGAGAGAATTGTTCCTTTTGCAATGGGTGTGAGTGCAGGCTTAGAAGCCAATAATCCAGTGTCAGATAGAATGTCCAAATCATACTTTCTTTGAGTCAAAGTAATTCCTTGTGTTGATCTTGCAACTTCAAGCCCAAGGAAATACTTTAGAGGTCGAAGGTCTTTTATTTTGAATGTATCATGAAGGTGTTGCTTCACAGATTTTATTTCATGCATATTGTTGCCTGCCAATATCAGATCATCAACATAGATGAGGAGAATAGTCAATTGATGGCCATCTGTCTTGGTGAACAATGAGTGATCATAAGCAGATTGAATGTACCCAATGTTAGTGAAAGTAGTGGAGAGCTTTCTGTACCATTCCCTACTTGCTTGCTTTAAGCCATAAAGTGACTTGTGAAGCTTGCAAACTTGATTACGCTTTGTGCAAACAACACCTTGTGGAATAGTCATGTAAACATTTTCTGTCAAATCTCCATGTAGGAAAGCATTATTGACATCCAATTGATGCAAAATCCAGTTCCTAGAAGCAGCAATGGCCAAAACTAATCTCACTGTTGTCAACTTAATGACAAGAGCAAAGGTGTCAAAGAAATCAACACCTTCAACTTGATCATATCCTTTAGCAACTAATCTAGCTTTAAATCTCTCAATACTGCCATCTGATTTGTACTTAATCCGATACACCCATTTAGAGCCAATAGGAACTTTATCATGTGGCAAATCAACAATGCTCCAAGTGTTATTTATCTCCAAAGCAGTAAGTTCATGCTGCATAACATCAATCCATTCAGAAGATTGTATGGCTTGTTTGTAGGATTTTGGTTCAGTGTGAGTAGATATAGAAAGAACATGTGATAGATGATGAGATGAGATAGAAGAATATGATAAAACAGAGGACAGAGGATGTGTAATATGAGGAACATTGGTCTTGGTTTGGGTAAACAGGTTGCAATGAAAGTCATGTAGGTGGATATCTTAGTCTAGTGGAATGTCTAAGGCCTTGTGTTTGAGGGGAAGATGTTTCTGTGATATGGGTCTCAGTGTTTGAGTTACTGTTAGGAGTAGTGTTTGGGTTTATTGTGTTTGAGTCAAGGTTATTTTGTGTAGCTGAGTCAAGGTTATTGTGAGGAGGTGATGGATTGTTGGCATGAGGTGATGAAATATGGTCAGAATCATAGAGAAGAAAATCAAGATCAGATTGTGAATCATTATGAGATGGACTTACTGTGGCAGCTTGATAAGGAAATTGTCCTTCATGAAATTGAACATTCCTAGAGATGAAAACTTCTCTAAATTGAAGATCAAACAATACAAAACCTTTGACTCCTGTTTTGAAGCCTAAGAAAATACACTTCCTTGCTCTTGCTTCCAACTTGGTTCTATGTGCAGATAATGTGGATGCAAAACACAAACAGCCAAACACCTTAAGTTCATTCAAATCAGGCTTACACTTATAAAACAATTCATAAGGTGATCTTTGTTGAAGAGTAGCACTTGGAATTCTGTTTATCAGAAAAGTAGCATGTTGAACTGCAAATGACCAAAACACATCAGGCAAGTGAGCATGAAACAATATTGATCTTGTAACATTCAGAAGATGCCTATGTTTCCTTTCTACAAATGAATTTTGTTGTGGAGTTTCAACACATGAAGTTTGGTGAACAATTCCATATTTTTCAAAGAAAGAAGGCAACTTAAACTCAACTCCATTATCTGTTCTAATGATTTTGATGACTTTATTAAACTGAGTTTGAGCAAAGACAACAAAATTCTGCATTAAATTCCTTGCATCTGATTTAGCTTTCATAAGGTATATCCATGTGTGCTTACTGTGATCATCAATTACAGTTAGAAAGTACTTGAAAGCATGGATGGAAGAAACAGACAATGGACCCCAAATATCCATGTGGACAAGATCAAAAGATTCCTTACTTTTATTCATACTAGTAGGAAAAGGCAGTCTTGCTTGTTTTCCAGAATGACAGAATTCACAAATTGTCTTGGAATCAAAATGCGCATATGGAAAATCTTTACAAATGTGTTGTAATACACCAATTGAAAGATGTCCTAATCTGTAATGCCACAAGTCAAAAGAGGAAAAATTACAAACAGAATGAGCAAGTAAAGTCTTCTTTATACAAGGCCTTGAAGGTGAGACAAGAATGTAAAGATCTTTGTCCACTTTAGCATGTCCAATCATCTTCAAGGTACTCATATCCTGAATCACACACTGAGAATTGTCAAAAATAACTCTGCAATGCAAATCATGTGTAAGCTTATGTATAGAAATGAGATTGAACTTGAATTCAGGAACAAACAACACATTGTGCAAGACAAGTTTTTCAGAAAACATCACCATTCCAGAATACTTAGCTGTAACAGTGGATCCATTTGGCAATTTGATTGCAATAGGCTTAATTGATTGATAAGACACAAAGCTACACAAATAAGGACATATGTGATCAGTAGCACTAGTGTCAAGAACCCATGGATGAGTATTACATGTGTCTTTGTGTCTTGTTTCTTCAAGTGGCATAATACTAAGTTGGTTCACACTGTTTCTGCCAAGCTCAGAAAGATTTGTTTTGTTCAACAATGATGCTAGTTCTGCATATTGTGCAGGACTGAAACTCAGGACAGATTTGCTTTCACCTTCAGTAAGCATGTATTCATTTTCATTGCTTGATTCAATCAAATTAGCACTCTTCATTATGCCATCAGTTCCACCATTATTTCTCTGCTTGCCAAAATTGGAAGGAAATCCATGTTTGTAATAACAAACATTAGCTGTATGCCTTTCTCTACCACAAAAGGTGCACATCTTAGTAGGAACTCCTCTGTTTGTCCCATATCCTCTTCCTTGGCTTCTTCCTCTAAATCTACCAAACATATTTCCTCTACCCAATACACTTTTCCATTGTACATCATTGCCAAAATTCTTAGTTGTACTTTCAACCAAATTCCCTGAATTGGAATTTAACAAGACTTTTGTACTAGTAGCAGTGACTTGCCTTTCTTGTTGTTGAATCAATGAAAAGGCCTTAGTAATAGGAGGTAGTGGTTCAAGTAATAGGATTTGGGATCTGGTATTGCTGAATTCCTCATTAGTCCTTT